TACTTTAATTGGAAGAGAAAATGTCTTTTTGTGTGAATGTATTGTGATATAATAATTTCATTTAAGAGGAATTTAAACCATTTGGATTGGAATAGAAAGATCCTTCAATAAGATATACGTACACTTGGGTTTCATTATATAAAAATTAAAGATAATATTATTTGGATTAAGTAAATAAAGAAATAGGATTTGGCGCCAGTTCTTGATATATCAAACCCTTTATAGGAATGATACATATCATTAAAGTCAATATTATGTACTATAGATGCTGAGTCTATCTTATATTCTAAGGAGATTCTATAAAGTTCTATCTGTATACAAGTGTGCACAAAGGGAAGAATAACGGTTGGTTTTCATGTAGATAGGAAACTTATAAGGTTTGTTCGCGTCGCATGCTCCAACATGCTCCAATATGCACCTATCATAGCTCCAATGCACTCATTAGAGTGAGTAGGAACTATGGCAGGAACATGTTGGAGCATGCGACGCGAACAAATCTTTACAAGTTTTACTCTTACGTTAGGCGCCATCTAGTCGCGGAGTGTGTGAAGTGTGTCCCTACAAAACGTATATCTATCTCACTTTAAGTTCCAAAAGTGTACAGGGTGTTACAGATACATACTAGGCAGTACGACGGATTGCGCGGCAAACTTTGCATGGCCAAACATGGTTTAACAGACAATGACAGTGACTTTATACATTATAAAGTTTATACTACAAAGTTTTATTATTTATATTATAAAGTTTATGTTATAAAGTCACTATCATTGTCTATAAAACCGTATCTGCCCATGCAAAGTTTGCCACGCAACCCGTCGTACTGCCTAGTATGTATCTGTAACACCCTGTACATTATTAGATTCTATACGTAGAGTCCTAGGACTCTAATTAGGACTCTAATAGCAGTAATGAATTAAAATGGCGGTCACGTGAGATTTAGACAGCCAATCAAACCATATAATATTTACCGCAAGGTTGCTCCACCTGTGCCCAATGTCTCTCCCAGACCTCCTCCTTCTCCTCTCAGAATTGGGTTGACATCCTCTCGCACAGGACACTCGCGTAAAACACTCGCGAATGATACACTATAATCGCGCGCGAATTATAATTATACAATATTCAAACGCTCGTGTGTTATAAATAAACAGTATATCAACTCAAGGCTTATCAACGAGCTAATTATTGTCTACTAAATTTATTTCAATCTCATCACATAAAAATTCAATATTGACATACTACTAAATTAATATGACTTCTCATAATTACAATCTGTGGCATACATACGTCCGTTTCAGCTTACAAAGCCTTCTTCAGTGTATTTTATAACAATAAATTTAAAATTAAAATTTAAAATTAAAAATTAAGAATTACAACCCTATACTCCACTAATATATAAAACACAACTCCCTGTAATCATCTTGTAATTCTTAATTTTTAATTTTAAATTTTAATTTTTAATTTATTGTTATAAAATACACTGAAGAAGGCTTTGTAAGCTGAAACGGATGTACGTATGCCACAGATTGTAATTATGAGAAGTCATATTAATTTAGTAGTATGTCAATATTGAATTTTTATGTGATGAGATTGAAATAAATTTAGTAGACAATAATTAGCTCGTTGATAAGCCTTGAGTTGATATACTGTTTAATTATAATTAATTATAATTAGAATTCCATCAAATGGGTCTTGTAAAATGTCCATTAGTTGGATAACTTGAATAGCACTCCTGAAGCAAACGCGCGACGCGACGAACCGGCTGCGGTTCGTTCACTTTCAATTAAATCGGTGACGATGAGGGTACGTTAGTTTCCCCATCGTTGGATTTTTGCACGAAGAGAACGATTTTATTCACGTATCTACAAATTTATTTAGATATATCATTCAAATACATTCGAAAATTTCTAGATACTTAAGGAAAAATATTCTTTCCATGTAGGGTAAGGTTGCCGAAATCGCACCATTTTTCATATAATGGCTTATAACTCGGAAAGTAAGAAGGATATTCTCAATTTTTTTGCGGCGTAATAAACTGCAAGCTTTTCCC